TTTATAATGGCAAATGATACTTTGAATATTACATGTTAATAACTTGATTGGAATTATAACCTTGAATTGACAGTTTGATACTTTGAAAATTTTGAGCCAGCCCTACCCCCAAGGGCTGTAGGGTGGGGCTCAAAGGAGTCAGTGTGCTAAAATTTCTTCATTTTCCTTGTTAAGAATCAGAGGTGCTAGTTTCAAATCCTTTTTAGTCTGAAATCTGTATGCTAGATATTGAGTAAGGTGGTTTTATTGTTTTTTGTCACTTTGAATAATATTTCTGTTAATGTTAAAAACATAATCAACTCTCTGTATAAATATATCAGGTGACCGTTAAGGCCCATGGGCCTCTTGTATTTGTTTACGTTTGTCACAGACCAAGGATCTCAATGATTATTAAAACAAGAAGTCAGTTAGAAGATACGTTATTCTTTTTTTAACTTTTTGAATTTACATGTAGATGATAAATAGTTTATCACACAATGTTTTCAGGGTGTGTCATGAGAACAATATTCTCATCTCAAACACATGGCCTCTCCATTTTATCTGTGTATTTCGCGATGACAAAATTGTTCAAACGACAAACGACGAACAGCATGATGATATATAATTGTCTTCTAGATCTGAAAACAACATTGCAATTCCTGTTTAAACACGGTTTTGTTTGAGAACAGTGGTATTGAAAAAATTCAGTTTTGTTTTGAAATGTTTTATTACCTGTGAATTTACTCAATGTGTGACACTATCAGATATTTTTTCTTCTCATCAACCATTTCTACTTTTGTAGGACATTACCCACAAAGAACAGCTTGCTGGGGTGGGTCCAGACAGCTGGCCATTCTCCGGTAAATACTGACCGGGAGTGGACATGTGGAGCGTGCACTCTTATCAATGGAGCAAGAAAACTTACTTGTGAGGCCTGTCTCACCTCAAGACCATATCTACATCAATCAGGTATTTGTAAGGCTTGTCTCACCTCCCTACATTATCTATATCAATCAGGTATTTGTAAAGCTTGTCTCACCTCCAGACCATATCTACATCAATCAGGCATTTGTAAGGCCTGTCTCACCTCCAGACAATATCTACATCAATCAGGTATTTGTAAGGCCTGTCTCACCTCCAGACAATATCTACATCAATCAGGTATTTGTAAGGCCTGTCTCACCTCCATACATTATCTATATCAATCAGGTATTTGTAAGGCTTGTCTCACCTCCAGACCATATCTACATCAATCAGGTATTAGCGAGGCCTGTCTAACCTCCAGACCATATCTACATCAATCAGGTATTTGTAAGGTTTGTGTCACCTCCAGACCATATCTACATCAATCAGGTATTTGTGAGGCCTGTCTCACCTCCAGACCATATCTACATCAATCAGGTATTTGTGAGGCCCCTCTCCAGACCATATCTACATCAATCAGGTATTCGTAAGGCTTGTCTCACCTCCAGACCATATCTACATCAATCAGGTATTTGTGAGGCTTGTCTCACCTCCAGACATTATCTACATCAATCAGGTATTTGTCCCTGGTATGTGGTCCGTTCATCTTAAAACAATTCTTGATTGCACTATTTCTTAGAAATTATTGGAGGGATGTTTCTCAAAATCACATGAAGGTTCCCTCCCCATGGTCCTTATTTACTGTATGAATATTAAATGTAAGGACTGATCGCAAAACCAAGATAGTCGATAGGTGGCCATCTTGAATTTTGAATAATGAAGTTTGTTTAGGCTGTTTCTCAGAAAGTACTGTAGGAATCTTTCTCAAATTTCAGTTGAAAGTTCCCCATGGTCCCTAGATAGGCTTATTGAATTTTAAGCCTATCTTTTAAACCTTCACCCATATTCAAGGTCACAGGGGTCAAGATGTTTGAGAGGCGGCCAGAGTAAAATATTGTTAGCACTATTGCTCAGAAAGGACAAGAGGGATCTTTCTTAAATTTTACGTGAAGGTTCCCAATGGCCCTTACTAATCCATATTGATTTTTGGGACTGATAGGAAAAACAAGATGGCCACCAGACAGCCATGATCTTGAATGTAGCAGTTCAATTTTGTTATCACTCTTCTATATGTATGTTTCCATTGGTCCCCTTGTTAGCTTAACTGGCACGAAGTGCCAAGTGAGCTAATGCCGTGGCGCGGCGTCCGTCGTCCTTCTGTCTTCCGGCGTCAATATTTTACTTTAAACAACTTCTTCTTAATAACTGAAAGATCTAGGGTGATGATATTTGGCCAGAAGCAAACTGGGATGAAGGGCTACAAAGTTTGTTCAAACGAATGACCTTCAAATGTATTCAAGGTCACAGGGGTCACTGTCTTAAAAAACCTTTAAACAACTTCTTCTGAATAACCAAAATGCCCAGGGTGATGATATTTGGCCAGTAGCATGCTGATATAAAGGGCTACAAAGTTTGTTCAAATGAATGACCTTCACCCATATTCAAGGTCACAGGGGTCAAATATGTTAAAAACTTTAAACAACTTCTTCTCAATAACCAAATTGCCCAGGGTGATGATATTTGGCCAGTAGCATGCTGGGGTAAAGGGCTATCAAGTTTGTTCAAATGAATGTCCTTCACCCATATTCAAGGTCACAGGGGTCAAATATGTTAAAAACATTAAGCAACTTCTTCAGAATAACCAAAATGCACAGGGTGATGATATTTGGTCAGTAGCATCCTGAGATGAAGGGCTACCAAGTTTGTTCAAATGAATGACCTTCACCCATATTCAAGGTCACATGGGGTCAAATATGTTTAAAACTTTAATCAACTTCTTCTCAATAACCAAAATGCCCAAGGTGATGATATTTGGCCAGTAGCATGCTGGGGTAAAGGGCTATCAAGTTTGTTCAAATGAATGTCCTTCACCCATATTCAAGGTCACAGGGGTCAAATATGTTAAAAACATTAAGCAACTTCTTCAGAATAACCAAAATGCCCAGGGTGATGATATTTAGTCAGTAGCATCCTGAGATGAAGGCTACCAAGTTTGTTCAAATGAATGACCTCACCCATATTCAAGGACACGGGGGTCAAATATGTTAAAAACTTTAAACAACTTCTTCTGAATAACCAAAATGCCCAAGGTGATGATATTTAGTCAGCATTATACTTGGATCAAGGGCTACCAAGTTTGTTAAAATGTATGACATTGAATCATATTCAAGGTCACAAGGAGCAAATATGTTCAAAATATTTAAAGACCTCGTTCTGAATAACCAAAAGGCTCAGGATATTGATATTTAGTCAGTAGCATGCTGGGATCAAGGACTACCATGTTTGTTAAAGTGAATGACTTTAACTTATATTCAAGGTCACAGGGGTCAAATGTGTTTAAAATCTTTAAACAACCTCTTCTGAATAACCATGGGTCCCAGGATGTTGATACTTTGCAAGTTGCATCCTGAGATGAAAGGCTATAAAATTTGTTCAACATAATGACTTTGTTCGACTTTCAATCACAGGGGTGAAATGTAAAAAAAATAAAATAACAGGCTCTTTTGAATGAATTTTAATCATAAATACTAATATTTTGCCTGTAGCTTTATTTTAGATCACTTTTAAGGTTACAAGTGTGGGATTTATACCAGGTGAGCGATGCAGGCCCATTGGGCATCTTGTTAAAAATCCCCCTGGCCCTAATGAGAATTCATCCGTCATTGCCAGCACTTCTTAATATGTAAGTTTTTATCATTTTGCATATAGTTATGCAATTCTTATACAATAACATTTGCAATAGTGGCAAATAACATGACATTACAAGGCTTAAGGTAATGTACAAGATTCCTGTTTATGATGTCCTACATGGGACTAGGTAATAGTACAAGTAAGGAGAGTGGAGAGCAAGGAAGTTAATAGATCATCTTCTGTAGATCTGATAAAGATCCTTCGATGGTGTGCACTAGGATCCTTCTATCATTTATACATTTACCATGTTCAACACATTTTAAATTAAAAAGTAAAATTTAAGGTCAGCTATTTATTAAGGCCCTGATCTTCTTGTAATGTTATGCTATATAACAAGAACAAGTACCCAATCTTTTTTTCAGTAAATTGGATGTGATTTTTTTTTTAAATATTTGAAAATTGCTTGCATATTGTTTTTAACTTTCTGTATGAACCATGTTTAAGAGAAAACATACAAGCTCAAAGATGATCTGTATACATTTGGATATTGAACAAGGTCGCAGTGACATTTAAATTTTGTTTTGATTGTCTAAGGTTGTATTGATTCATCAAATAATTTTTCAGAGCCTTCGGTTATCTGCATCTCCGGTCCAAATTCGACCTCAGCATTGTCAAATACAAAAAACCCAGGGACAAGTTTAACGAGCCATGGAGATAAATCAAAGTTAGGTCCGACAGGGACAAGTTCAACGAACCATGGAGATAAATCAAAGTTAGGTCCGGCAGGGACAAGTTCAACGAGCCATGGAGATAAATCAAAGTTAGGTCCGACAGCTTATACAGATGTGGAACCACCTCTAAAACGGAGAAGAATTGAAGAAAAAAATAACACTACTAAAGATGACAGTCAAATCTCACGTTGCCCTGGACACAATAAAAAGTGTTCCCTGAGAGAAGTGTTTAAGAAGGGAGATAATTATGGACGCTGGTTCTTCTCCTGTTCTGTTAGAGGAAAACAGCAATGCAAACATTTCAAGGTAGGCATCATACTTCACATGTGAAATGTAAGTCAGGTTATGAAGTCATGTGTCAAAGGTTACAAACAGGCCATTCAGTATATACAAGAGTTATCAGTCTTACCTACTCATGATCAAGGGGAGGTCATACAACCACTACTCACAATCACAGGGAGGTCATACAACCACTCCTCACGATCATGAGAGGTCATACAACCACTCCTCACGATCACAGGAAGGTCATACAACCAATCCTCATGATCACAGGGAGGTCATACAACCACTCCTCATGATCAAGGGGAGGTCATACAACCACTCGTCATGATCAAGGGGAGGTCATACAACCACATGTCATGATCAGGGAGAGATCATACAACCACTCCTCACGATCACAGGGAGGTCATACAACCACTGCTCACAGTCACAGGGAGGTCATACAACCGCTGCTCATGATCACAGGGAGTCATACAACCCCTCCTCACGATCACAGGGAGGTCATACAACCACTGCTCACAGTCACAGGGAGGTCATACAACCCCGCCTCATGATCAAGGGGAGGTCATAAAACCACTCCTCATGATTACAGGGAGGTCATACACCCTCTCCTCAGTCACAGGGAGGTCATACAACCGCTGCTCATGATCACAGGGAGGTCATACAACCACTGCTCATGATCACAGGGTGGTCATACAACCACATGTCATGATCAGGGAGGTCATACAACCACTGCTCATGATCACAGGGAGTCATACAACCACTCCTCACGATCAAAGGGAGGTCATACAACCACTCGTAACGATCACAGGGAGGTCATACAACCCCTCCTCACTATCACAGGGAGGTCATACAACCACTACTCATGATCAAGGGGAGGTCATACAACCACTCCTCATGATCACAGGGAGGTCATACAACCACTCCTCACAGTTACAGGGAGGTCATACAACCACTACTCATGATCAAGGGGAGGTCATACAATCACATGTCTTGATCAGGGAGAGATCATACAACCACTGCTCATGATCAAGGGGAGGTCATACAACCACTCCTCATGATTAAGGGGAGTTTATACAACCACTCCTCATGATTAAGGGGAGTTTATACAACCACTCCTCATGATTCAGGGGAGTTTATACAACCACTCCTCATGATTAAGGGGAGTTTATACAACCACCCCTCATGATTCAGGGGAGTTTATACAACCTCTCCTCATGATTAAGGGGAGTTTATACAACTACTCCTCATGATTCAGGGGAGTTTATACAGCCACTCCTCATGATTAAGGGGAGTTTATACAACTACTCCTCATGATTCAGGGGAGTTTATACAACCTCTCCTCATGATTAAGGGGAGTTTATACAACTACTCCTCATGATTCAGGGGAGTTTATACAACCACTCCTCATGATTAAGGGGAGCTTATACAACCACTCCTCATGATTCAGGGGAGTTTATACAGCCACTCCTCATGATTAAGGGGAGTTTATACAACCACTCCTCCTGATTCAGGGGAGTTTATACAACCACTCCTCATGATTAAGGGGATTTTATACAACCACTCCTCAGTCATAGGGAGGTCATCCACCCACTCCTCAGTCATAGGGAGGTCATACAAACACTCCTCATGATCACAGGGAGGTCATACAACCCCTCCTCATGCTCAAGGGGAGGTCATACAACCACTCCTCATGATTAAGGGGAGTGTATACAACCACTCCTCAGTCATAGGGAGGTCATCCACCCACTCCTCAGTCATAGGGAGGTCATACAAACACTCCTCATGATCACAGGGAGGTCATACAACCAATCCTCACGATAACAGGGAGGTCATACAACCACTGCTCATGATCACAGGGTGGTCATACAACCACATGTCATGATCAGGGGGAGGTCATACAACCACTCCTTATGATCGGGGGAGGTCATAAAACCACTCCTCATGATCAGGGGGAGGTCATACAACCACTCCTTATGATCGGGGGAGGTCATAAAACCACTCCTCATGATCACAGGGAGGTCATACAACCACTCCTCATGATCAAGGGGAGGTCATACAACCACATGTCATGATCAGGGGGAGGTCATACAACCACTCCTTATGATCGGGGGAGGTCATAAAACCACTCCTCATGATCAGGGGGAGGTCATACATTTCCCTTATATATATACAGGTGTTTTATGACAGCCCTGTGTCTAACACTTGACAAAGATTTGGCAATATCTACCCTTGTAATGAGTTTTGACCACGTCAGCTGAACTTTGATGATATAGGTGCAGTCGTTACAGCTCGATAAATGGCCTTGGCCTGTTATATTATGAATGGGCCTTTTAGATATTTTAACAGTTCTTGATACCACAATGCGAATAGTTATTTATATTGTTGTTTAGGTCATATCAATGATTCTAGGAACTTTATATACGTAAAAACTTAATTGAAAATCTGAGCAGTTTTTGGTCATTAAAAATAATGTTGATAATGCCCTGCTGTTACTAGTGACCAAGTCTGACTTGTTTTGTAGTGGGCCGATGAGTTGTTTCCCCTGTGTGAGGCTCACAAGAAGAGGTGTACTTTGCGGACAGTGGTGAAACAGGGACCTAACAATGGACGTCAGTTCTTTGTGTGTGCTGTAGCCAAGAAAAGCAGCAAAGTCAAGTGTGACACTTTTAAATGGGCTGTTGGTTTTGATGTGAAATGAGTATCAGATACTTTACATAGTTATATACTTATACTTCAAGTCACAACTTAAATCCATTTCATGTGGAAATCTTAACTCAACCTCCTGTAGATAACTAAACTAAACTTTTATTTGTTTCAGAAATAAAGACATTAAGATGAAAGATGCTTTGAATTTTTTGTTTTTTTAGCTCGCCTGCCTGAAGGGCAAGTGAGCTAATGGCATTAGGGGAAATAGAGGTAAAACCTTTGAAATCCTTCTCCTACAATAGCGACTCAAGATTTTATCCCAATGTTGTTCCCACCAAGCTGTCTAGTACTGCCTGTTACTATTAGGATATATTCATTAAAACAAGATGACCACCAGGCCGCCATCTTGGATTTTGACATTTGAAGTTTGTTCTTGCTATATCTCCAGAAATACTGGATGAATCTTTCTGAAATTTCATATGTACATACAGTACCTACTAAGGAGTGCTTTATCTTTACTTAATATCAAGACTTTTAACATTTATCCAGGTGAGCGATACAGGCCCTCTGGGCCTCTTGTTTGTATATTTATTCATCTGCACTTCGTCATTGACATGCCCAATACACAATACCGAAATGACAACAAGAAAAATATAATAACAAAAACAGGTATTACACTTTATCAACAAAAAAAGGATATCTCATTATACATACAATAAGCGCTCTTCATAGGAACTCTTCAAAGGGTACTTTTCTTACGATACTCTTCAAAGGTACTTTTCATAGGTACTCTTTATAGGTACTCTTCATATGGTACTCTTTATAGGGTACTCATCATAGGTACTCTTTGTAGGGTACTCATCATAGGTACTCTTCATAGGGTACTCCTCATAGGGTACTCTTCAAAGGGTACTTATCATAGGTACTCTTTGTAGGTACTCTTCATATGGTACTCTTCATAGGGTACTCTTCATAGGTACTCTTCATAGGGTACTCTTTATAGGGTGCTCTTCATAGGGTATTCTTCATAGGTTACGCATCATAGGGTACTCTTCATAGGGTACTTATCATAGGAACTCTTCATAGGTACTCTTCATAGGGTACTCTTCATAGGTACTCTTCAAAGGGTACTCTTCATATGGTACTCTTCATAGGGTGCTCTTCGTAGGGTATTCTTCATAGGTTACTCATCATATGGTACTCTTCATAGGGTACTTTTAATAGGTACTCTTCATATGGTGCTTTTTATATGGTACTCTTTATAGCTACTCTTTAAAGGGTACTCTTCATATGGTACTCTTCATAGGGTGCTCTTCGTAGGGTATTCTTCATAGGTTACTCATCATATGGTACTCTTCATAGGGTACTTTTAATAGGTACTCTTCATATGGTGCTTTTTATATGGTACTCTTTATAGCTACTCTTTAAAGGGTACTCTTCATATGGTACTCTTCATATGGTCCTTTATAGGGTACTTTTCATAGGTACTCTTTGTAGGGTACTCATCATAGGTCCTCTTCATAGGGTACTCCTCATAGGGTACTCTTCAAAGGGTACTTATCATAGGTACTCTTTGTAGGGTACTCTTCATAGGGTACTCTTCATAGGTACTCTTCATATGGTCCTTTATAGGGTACTTTTCATAGGTACTCTTTGTAGGGTACTCATCATAGGTACTCTTCATTGGGTACTCCTCATAGGGTACTCATCATAGGGTACTCTTCATAGCTTATCATAGGTACTCTTCATAGGTACTCTTCATAGGGTACTCTTTATAGGGTGCCCTTCATAGGGTATTCTTCATAGGTTACTCATCATAGGGTACTCTTCATAGGGTACTCTTCATAGGGCGCTCTTCATAGGGTATTCTTCATAGGTTACGCATCATAGGGTACTCTTCATAGGGTACTTATCATAGGAACTCTTCATAGGTACTCTTCATAGGGTACTCTTTATAGGGTGCCCTTCATAGGGTATTCTTCATAGGTTACTCATCATAGGGTACTCTTCATAGGGCACTTTTAATAGGTACTCTTCATATGGTGCTTTTTATATGGTACTCTTTATAGCTACTCTTTAAAGGGGACTCTTCATATGGTACTCTTCATAGGGTACTCTTCATAGGGCGCTCTTCATAGGGTATTCTTCATAGGTTACTCATCATAGGGTACTCTTCATAGGGTACTTATCATAGGAACTCTTCATAGGGTACTCCTCATAGGGTACTCTTCAAAGGGTACTTATCATAGGTACTCTTCATAGGGTACTCCTCATAGGGTACTCTTCAAAGGGTACTTATCATAGGTGCTCTTTGTAGGGTACTCTTCATAGGGTACTTTTAATAGGTACTCTTCATCTGGTACTTTTTATATGGTACTCTTTATAGATACTCTTTAAAGGGTACTCTTCATATGGTACTCTTCATATGGTACTCTACATATGGTACTCTTCATAGGTACTCTTCAAAGGGTACTCTTCATATGGTACTCTTCATATGGTACTCTTCATAGGTACTCTTCATAAGGTACTCTTTATATGGTCCTTTATAGGGTACTTTTCATAGGTACTCTTTGTAGGGTACTCATCATAGGGTACTCTTCATAGGGTACTCTTCATATGATACTCATAATAGGTACTCTTCGGACATTACTCTTCATAGGGTACTCTTTATAGGGTACTCTTCATAGGGTACTTTTCATAAGGTACTCTTTATAGGGTACTCTTCATATGGTCCTTTATAGGGTACTTTTCATAGGTACTCTTTGTAGGGTACTCATCATAGGGTACTCTTCATAGGGTACTCATCATAGGGTACTCTTCATAGGGTACTCATAATAGGTACTCTTCGTACATTACTCTTCATAGGGTACTCTTTATAGGGTACTCTTCATATGGTATTTTTCATAAGGTACTCTTTATAGGGTACTCTTCATATGGTACTTTATAGGGTACTTTTCATAGGTACTCTTTGTAGGGTACTCATTATAGGGTACTCTTCATAGGGTACTCATCATAGGGTACTCTTCATAGGGTACTCTTCAAAGGGTACTTATCATAGGTACTCTTTGTAGGGTACTCTTCATAGGGTTCTCATCATATGGTACTCTTTATAGGGAACTCTTCATAGGTACTCTTCATATGGTTCTCATCATATGGTACTCTTTATAGGTACTCTTCATAGGGTACTCTTTATATATAATTTGAATATATTGAAGGTCATTCATATGAACAAACTTGGTAGCCCTTCACCCAAGCATGCTACTGGCCAAATATCATCTACTTGGGCAGTTTGGTTATCGAGAAGAAGATGTTTAAAAGTGTTCACATATTTGACCCCTGTGACCTTGAAAATGGGTGAAGGTCATTCGTTTGAACAAACTTTGTAGCCCTTCATCCCAGTTTGCTTCTGGCAAAATTTCGACACCCTTAGGCCTTTCGGTTATTAAGAAGAAGTCGTTTAAAGTAAAATATTGATGCCGGACGGACGCCGGACGACGCGCCACGGCATAAGCTCACTTGGCACTTCGTGCCAGGTGAGCTAAAAATCACTTTATAGGTCATGGCGGCCATATTGAATTTTTGATCAACTTGAATTTGGCCATGACATCTCCAAACTATTACCTGCAACCTGGCAAAATATCATGTACATAGCTATTACCATTTAAAAGGAAACTTTGTCTCAAGATCTTGAGGAGAAGAAGAAAAAGAAGAAGGATAAACAAAACAAAAACAATAGGTCCCTTATAAAAAAGTTCTTGCATTTACTACACAATGCCCTTATTTGGCAATGAAAGGAGCATAGCCCCACAATGAAAAAGGGACAAAACTGCCGAATAGCATTTACATATCACGATTTAAGAACTCATCCAATGCTTTGAAAAATATTGAGGATATTTGTTTGAGTTATCGCGTAAAAAAGTAAAAATTAACGGCAAAAAGGATGAACAGTGTTGCTACATGATATAAGACAAAGGTAATGTTTAACAGGTTTTGTGATATAAGACAAAGGTAATGTTTAACAGGTTTTGTGATATACGACAAAGGTATTGTTTAACAGGTTTTGTGATATAAGACATAGGTAATGTTTAACAGGTTTTGTGATATAAGACAAAGGTAATGTTTAACAGTTTTTGTGATATAAGACAAAGGTAATGTTTAACAGTTTTTGTGATATAAGACATAGGTAATGTTTAACAGTTTTTGTGATATACGATATAGGTAATGTTTAACAGGCTTTGTGATATAAGACAGGGGCTCTCACTTTCACGTCGATTAACATAATCGTTCCATTTTGGCTTTAAATTCTTTGGGACTTTTGCCCCCAATCTCTTAAATAGATTATTACTTCACTTTATCTGTAGCCAGTTTTCTTGTGGTAAATTTATCAGATATATTCTCTGGGGTGGCTATGAGTCTAGTCGCTTCTCTGGATTCCTCCAAAGTCTAATGACTTCTCTTGCCTTCTTCGGAGTCTAGCGTTTCCAATTCATAGTCTTTTATAGCTTCTCCATGGATATTAGGAGTCTAGTCGCTTCTCTGGAGTCGTTCAGAGTCTAGCTGCTTCTCTTGTTTTCTTTGGAGTCAAGCTCGCGTTCTTTATCAAGTTTCTCTGCGTTATAGCTTCTCCATGGATAAAAGGAGTCTAGTTGCTTCTCTGGAGTCGTTCAGAGTCTAGCTGCTTCTCTTGTTTTCTTTGGAGTCTAGCTCGCGTTCTTTATCAAGTTTCTCTGTGACTTCGCAGAGTCTAGCTTCCTTTAAAATCTTTTGAAAAGAATTTGTTACTATTAGTAGGTTTGTTATAGAGTGTAGCCCCTGATACGCCAAATGTTTGCAGTAGGTTTTAGTACTTGTTCTTTGCTTGCACATACATATCTGTGTCTTAGGTCAAGTAATAAACAGGTTAACTCTTTCAATGTGTGAAGTTATGTATAAAATAAGACATGTTATGTTTAACAGGCTTTGTGATATAAGACAAAGGTAATGTTTAACAGTTTTTGTGATATAAGACATAAGTAATGTTTAACAGGTTTTGTGATATAAGACAAAGGTAATTTTTAACAGGTTTTGTGATATAAGACATAGGTAATGTTTAACAGGTTTTGGGATATAAGACAGGTAATGTTTAACAGTTTTTCTGATAAGATGATATAAGACATAGGTAATGTTTAACAGTTTTTGTGATATAAGACAGGTAATGTTTAACAGTTTTTCTGATAAGACAAAGGTAATATTTTACAGGTGTTGTAGACAAAGGTAATGTTTAACAGTTTTTGTGATATAAGACATAAGTAATGTTTAACAGGTTTTGTGCTATAAGACAAAGGTAATGTTTAACAGGTTTTGTGATATACGACAAAGGTATTGTTTAACAGGTTTTGTGATATAAGACATAGGTATTTTTTTACAGGTTTTGTGATATAAGACAAAGGTAATGTTTAACAAGTTTTGTGATATAAGAAAAAGGTAATGTTTAACAGGTTTTGTGATATAAGACAAAGGTAGTGTTTTTACAGGCTTTGTGATATAAGACATAGGTAATGTTTAACAGGTTTTGTGATATAAGACAGGTAAGGTTTAACAGTTTTTCTGATAAGACAAAGGTAATATTTTACAGGTGTTGTAGACAAAGGTAATGTTTAACAGTTTTTGTGATATAAGACAGGTAATGTTTAACAGTTTTTCTGATAAGATGATATAAGACATAGGTAATGTTTAACAGTTTTTGTGATATAAGACAGGTAATGTTTAACAGTTTTTCTGATAAGATGATATAAGACATAGGTAATGTTTAACAGTTTTTGTGATATAAGACAAAGGTAATGTTTTTACAGGCTTTGTGATATAAGACATAGGTAATGTTTAACAGGTTTTGTGATATAAGAAATAGGTAATGTTTAACAGGTTTTGTGATATAAGACACGTAATGTTTAACAGTTCTTCTGATAAGACAAAGGTAATATTTTACAGGTGTTGTAGACAAAGGTAATGTTTAACAGTTTTTGTGATATAAGACAAAGGTAATGTTTTTACAGGCTTTGTGATATAAGACATAGGTAATGTTTAACAGGTTTTGGGATATAAGACAGGTAATGTTTAACAGTTTTTCTGATAAGACAAAGGTAATATTTTACAGGTGTTGTAGACAAAGGTAATGTTTAACAGTTTTTGTGATATAAGACAAAGGTAATGTTTAACAGTTTTTGTGATATAAGACATAAGTAATGTTTAACAGGTTTTGTGCTATAAGACAAAGGTAATGTTTAACAGGTTTTGTGATATAAGACAAAGGTAATGTTTTACAGGTTTTGTGATATAAGACAAAGGTAATGTTTAACAGGTTTTGTGATATAAGACAGGTAATGTTTAACAGTTTTTCTGATAAGACAAAGGTAATATTTTACAGGTGTTGTGATAAGAGATAGGTAATGTTTAACAGTTTTTGTGATATACGATATAGGTAATGTTTAACAGGTTTTGTGATATAAGACAGGTAATGTTTAACAGGTTTTGTGATATAAGACAGGTAATGTTTAACAGGTTTTGTGACATTTCTAACCCCTGATTTTAAATGTTACTCTTATAAGAATACAAACCAGTTATTTATGGTTCAATTTTTATTCCTCATTACACAGGACAGAGCATTAGAGTTAAAACCACACATGCTCATCAAACCACTCAGATTGCACGAGTGTATTGTGACTTAAGACTTTAGCCCAAGTGTAATATATCTAATGGATATATATGCTTAAAGGAGGCTTAAACATATCTCTATGTGCAATCTGAGACATAAGATGAATACGTAAGTCTGGTTTTTCTATAAATACATAACTGTTGTTGTACTTCATATGCATACATTGTATTACACATTTTCTGAAAACATTATTTATCATTGTTTTATATTAATGTTCAATTTGCTTCCCAAAAACTGAACCAAAACACATTTGTGAAGTAGACGATGTTGAAAGAATATTGACAACACATTACCATTGTATAAAATTGAGCTATATTAAAACTGATTCCTGTTTCAATTTGTCAATTAATTGATCAATGAAAAAATACTATCTTCTCCAGTCAAAAAGAATTTCTGACTTCTGAGATAATACAACTTCTTGTATTATCACAGTGTGAAATATAGGACTGTGTACTGCATGGCCTGAAAACTGGCTATATCATTTTGGTATCACCAGGTTTGTAATAAAATATTGTATGTCCATCAAGATGACATATATAAATAAATCAATATAACTGTCTACACAATGTAATACAACACAGCAGTGCATTATCTCATACAACAACAAGAGTACCGCGGGGCGGAACAAAATACGCCCGTTGAATGCCATATAGTGTTATATACTTTCTTACATTGAATTAAGATCTGCATCATTCTAAGAGTGGTTAGCTGACATGCTATAGAAAATGTAGGAGAAAATCTTCGGACAAAAAATCAAATACTGAAATGAACAAAGGGCAATAACTTTTGCAAAAATCGTCGAATCAAAATTCTTTTAAGGGAGACACAACTTCATATCATGATTATAATGTATACCAAGTTTCAAAGAGATCTGTTGAAAAATGTAGGAGGAGATTGCTGGACAAAAATAAAATACTGAAATGAACAAAGGGCAATAACTTTTGCAAATATTGCCGAATCAAAATTCTTTTAAGGGAGACACAACTTCATATCATGATTATAATGTATACCAAGTTTCAAAGAGATCTGTTGAAAAATGTAGGAGGAGATTGCTGGACAAAAATAAAATACTGAAATGAACAAAGGGCAATAACTTTTGCAAATATTGCCGAATCAAAATTCTTTTAAGGGAGACACAACTTCATATCATGATTATAATGTATACCAAGTTTCAAAGAGATCGGTCGAAAAATAATTTGTGTTCAATTCTAAAGTGGGTCTTTGTTGAAGCGCCCCTCAGACAACAGGAAGTCATACAACTCTAAAAGGGGGTCTTTGTTGATGCGCCCCTCAGACAACAGGAAGTCATACAATTCTAAAGTGGGTCTTTTTTGATGCGCCCCTCAGACAACAGGAAGTCATACAACTCTAAAGGGGATCTTTGTTGATGCGCCCCTCAGACAACAGGAAGTCATACAACTCTAAAGGGGATTTTGTTGATGCGCCCCTCAGACAACAGGAAGTCATACAACTCTAAAGGGGATCTTTGCTGATGCACCCCTCAGACAACAGGAAGTCATACAACTCTAAAGGGGGTCTTTGTTGATGCGCCCCTCGGACAACAGGAAGTCATACAACTCTAAAGGGGATCTTTGTTGATGCGCCCCTCAGACAACAGGAAGTCATACAATCTCCTGGTTTTGTTTACATCAATCTTGATGATGTTTCGAGCATGACTTAGTTTCAAGCTTCCAGCTTTAGCACATTCAGCTGACATGACAGCCCGGAATTCCAGATATGCATCTGGAACCAGTCGAATCCCTGCACACATTTCCCTTTCGGAGTCTGTGAGTTTATCATAGCCTGGCATGCCGACAATGTCGAGAGGTGGTGCTGAGCGACGTGCTATCATGGGAAGCTGTGCAGACACACCTTTAGAGATGGTGTTTAACATCACCTGTCTCTGTAACCACGTCTGACAGGCCTTGTTATCATTCATGTGAACAAGAATCTCACTTAACAAGTTAATTTGCATCTTTGTTGCTTGTCGCCGCTTCTTTAAAGACTTATATATATTTGTGTTCCTCATATGTACAATACCATTTTGCCTGCATTCTTGCAAACGTCTGATTTGTAGTTGAAGTTCTTTTTCTACATGTATGCCCTTGATAAACTTGTCATATTTCAATGGTGAGAAAAGACGCATGAACACTCTGACTTTTTCGATGATATCTGTGATACTATGGTCATACATACGGTTACTGGCCTGGACTTTGGTAAAATTTATAAGACCATACTTTCTAACAATCATCTTTCTCTTTCCTCTCTGCTTCAAACAATGCAGATACACATCCAGCACAGCCAACTCCAATCTCTCCTCCAGCTCATTTCCCTCCTCCTCTCCAGCAAAGGATATTGACTGAATTTCCAGTTCTTGGAAATTGTCGTACTCAACATTGAAATCTCCCCGAGCTGCCATATAGCCTCCCATCTCCTGCTGTAGAACTGATGAATCAGGGAATCGTGGGGGATCGTCACACAGTTTATAGACCTGAGGCTGTGGATACACCTGCTGGCTCCAGTCCCCGAACTGTGGCAGCACAGGTATGGGGTCATTTATATAGCTCTTGTTGTAATGTCGTTTGCATTCTTCCTTGTTTTTAGTTCTAAGTCTTTGTGCAGCATCTGACCAGTTCCCATAACCACAATCTGATAAAGTTTCCAACAGCACTGTTTCCTCTAAAGCAGTCCAGTTATTTTCAAACAATGCAAAATCATTTCTGAGTATTGTGTATGCATGATCACTCTGATGCGAGCCAAACTCTGTACCTTTAGAGAAGCACTGTAGACAAAGCTGGACCTTGGCCGGCTTACAACCCACACAAACAATGTATGGCTCACTAACTCTATCCTTACATCCACCACACTTCAGAGGCACTCTCCTTTCTTCCTCTTCCATGTTAAGGGCAAATTTACATGTGTAATAGTTGAATTTTATGACAGGAGCTCTGGACCTCCTCCACGATAGCCACGATCCAAAGTTTTATGACAGGAGCTCTGGACCTCCTCCACGATAGCCACGATCCAAAGTTTTAGGACGGGAGCTCTGGACCTCCTCCACGATTACTATGATACAAAGTTTTAGGACGGGAGCTCTGGACCTCCTCCACAATTACTATGATACAAAGTTTTAGGACGGGAGCTCTGGACCTCCTCCACAATTACTATGATACAAAGTTTTAGGACGGGAGCTCTGGACCTCCTCCACAATTACTATGATACAAAGTTTTAGGACGGGAGCTCTGGACCTCCTCCACAATTACTATGATACAAAGTTTTAGGACAGGAGCTCTGGACCTCCTCCACAATTACTATGATACAAAGTTTTAGGATGGGAGCTCTGGACCTCCTCCACAATTACTATGATACAAAGTTTTAGGACGGGAGCTCTGGACCTCCTCCACGATAACTATGATACAAAGTTTTAGGACGGGAGCTCTGGACCTCCTCCACAATTACTATGATACAAAGTTTTAGGACGGGAGCTCTGGACCTCCTCCACGATAACTATGATACAAAGTTTTAGGACGGGAGCTCTGGACCTCCTGCGTGATAATTGCCATCTACAGTTGCTCCACTGAAATCAAGTCCTGGATTCTGAAATAAACCAGGCATAATAAAAATCACTTTTTTTATAAAGTTCAAAATGACTAAATGATGTTAAGTTATTTAACAATAATTTTAAAACAAATTATATTAATCACACTATTTGGTCTGGATGGTAGCACAGTGGTTCTTTAAGTAGGAGAAAACCGGAGTACATGTGTCCCCAGAGTCAGGCAGGTGGCCAAAAACAGTTCATGTCCTATACAAGCAAAAAGTGAAGGTTGACAGCACTACCCACATCACCACTGGACCACCCTTCCTTGGTAGCTGGTTGTGGGTTGTGTGTGAAAACTGTTCACTGAAGGATTAGGAGAGTTAAGGATAAATGCAAGTGGCCTTTAATGAATGATAACTTAAATTTAGTTAATTAAAGTTTATTTAACATGATCAAGTAATAATGCATTTCCCCCCGAACAACAACAATGTTCTGAGAGTTAAAATGTATTTGGCTAGATAGGGATTTTACCCCGAGAACTATTACCACAATAGAATCCCTACCTGATCGATTGGGCTAGATAGGGATTTTTACCTCAAGAACTACTATCACAATAGAATCCCTACCTGATCAATTTGGCTAGATAGGGATTTTTACCCCGAGAACTATTACCACAATAGAATCCCTACCTGATCAATTGGGCTAGATAGGGATTTTTACCCAGAGAACTACTATCACAAGAGAAACCCTACCTGATCGTTTGGGCTAGATAGGGATTTTTACCCCGAGAACTATTACTACAATAGAATCCCTACCTGATCAATTTGGCTAGATAGGGATTTTTACCTCAAGAACTACTATCACAATAGAATCCCTACCTGATCAATTTGGCTAGATAGGGATTTTTACCCCGAAAACTATTACCACAATAGAATTCCTACCTGATCAATTGGGCTAGATAGGGATTTTTACCCAGAGAACTACTATCACAAGAGAATCCCTACCTGATCGTTTGGGCTAGATAGGGATTTTTGCCCCGAGAACTACTATCACAATAGAATCCCTACCTATCAATTTGGCTAGATAGGGATTTTTACCCCGAGAACTATTACCACAATAGAATCCCTACATGATCAATTTGGCTAGATAGGGATTTTTACCCTGAGAACTACATACTATCACAATAGAATCCCTACCTGATCAATTTGGCTAGATCAGGATTTTTACACCGAGAACTATCACCACAATAGAATCCCTACCTGATCAATTTGGCTAGATAGGGATTTTTCCCCCGAGAACTACTACCACAATAGAATCCCTCCCTGATCGTTTGGGCTAGATAGGGATTTTTACCCCGAGAACTATTACCACTAGATAGGGATTTTTGCCCCGAGAACTACTATGACAATAGAATCCCTACCTATCAATTTGGCTAGATAGGGATTTTTACCCCGAGATCTACTACCACAATAGAATCCCTACCTGATCGGTTGGGCTAGATAGGGATTTTTACCCTGAGAACTACATACTATCACAATAGAATCCCTACCTGATCAATTTGGCTAGATAGGGATTTTTCCCCCGAGAACTACTACCACAATAGAATCCCTACCTGATCGTTTGGGCTAGATAGGGATTTTTACCCCGAGAACTACTTTCACAATAGGAGCCCTACCTGATCGTTTGGGCTAGATAGGGATTTTTACCCCGAGAACTACTACCACAATAGAATCCCTACCTGATCGGTTGGGCTAGATAGGGATTTTTACCCCGAGAACTACTTTCACAATAGGAGCCCTACCTGATCGTTTGGGCTAGATAGGGATTTTTACCCCGAGAACTATTACCACAATAGAATTCCTACCTGATCGTTTGGGCTAGATCAGAATTTTTACCCTGAGAACTACTATCACAATAGAATCCCTACCTGATCAATTTGGCTAAATAGGGATTTTTACCCCGAGAACTACTATCACAATAGAAACCCTACCTGATCGGTTGGGCTAGATAGGGATTTTTACCCTGAGAACTACATACTATCACAATAGAATCCCTACCTGATCAATTTGGCTAGATAGGGATTTTTACCCCGAGAACTACTATCACAATAGAAACCCTACCTGATCGGTTGGGCTAGATAGGGATTTTTACCCCGAGAACTACTATCACAATAGAATCCCTACCTGATCAATTTGGCTAGATAGGCATTTTTACCCTGAGAACTACATACTATCAGAATAGAATCCCTACCTGATCGGTTGGGCTAGATAGGGATTTTTACCCTGAGAACTATTACCACAATATCCCTACCTGATCGTTTGGGCTAGATAGGGATTTTTACCCCGCGAACTACTATCACAATAGAATCCCTACCTGATCGTTTGGGCTAGATAGGGATATTTACCCTGAGAACTATTACCACAATAGAATCCCTACCTGATGGTTTGGGCTAGATAGGGATTTTTACAACGAGAACTACTATCACAATAGAATCCCTACCTGATCAATTTGGCTAGATAGGGGTTTTTACCTCAAGAACTACTATCACAATAGAATCCCTACCTGATCGGTTGGGCTAGATAGGGATTTTTACCCTGAGAACTATTACCACAATAGAATCCCGACCTGATCGTTTGGGCTAGATAGGGATTTTTACACCGAGAACTACTATCACAATAGAATCCCTACCTGATCGATTTGGCTAGATAGGGATTTTTACCCCGAGAACTTCTATCACAATAGAATCTATCACAATAGAATCCCTACCTGATCAATTTGGCTAGATAGGGATTTTTTCCGCGAGAACTACTTTCACAATAGAATCCCTACCTGATCAATTTGGCTAGATAGGGGTTTTTACCTCAAGAACTACTATCACAATAGAATCCCTACCTGATCAATTGGGCTAGATAGGGATTTTTACCCTGAGAACTACATACTATCAGAATAGAATCCCTAGCTGATCGTTTGGGCTAGATCAGGATTTTTACCCCGAGAAATACTATCACAATAGAATCCCTACCTGATCATTGGGCTAGATAGGGATTTTTACCCCGAGAACTATTACCACAATAGAATCCCTACCTGATGGTTTGGGCTAGATAGGGATTTTTACAACGAGAACTACTATCACAATAGAATCCCTACCTGATCGATTTGGCTAGATAGGGATTTTTACCCCGAGAACTTCTATCACAATAGAATCTATCACAATAGAATCCCTACCTGATCAATTTGGCTAGATAGGGATTTTTACCCTGAGAACTACATACTATCAGAATAGAATCCCTACCTGATCGTTTGGGCTAGATCAGGATTTTTACCCCGAGAACTACTATCACAATAGAATCCCTACCTGATCATTGGGCTAGATAGGGATTTTTACCCTGAGAACTATTACCACAATAGAATCCCTACCTGATCGTTTGGGCTAGATAGGGATTTTTACAACGAGAACTACTATCACAATAGAATCCCTACCTGATCAATTTGGCTAGATAGGGATTTTTACCCCAAGAACTACTATCACAATAGAATCCCTACCTATCAATTTGGCTAGATAGGGATTTTTACCCCGAGAACTACCATCACAATAGAATCCCTACCTGATCGTTTGGGCTAGATAGGGATTTTTACCCTGAGAACTATTACCACAATAGAATCCCTACCTGATCGTTTGGGCTAGATCAGGCTTTTACCCAGAGAACTACTATCACAATAGAATCCCCACCTATCAATTTGGCTAGATAGGGATTTTGACCCCGAGAACTATTACCACAATAGAATCACTACCTGATCAATTTGGCTAGATAGGGATTTTTTCCCCGAGAACTATTACCACAATAGAATCCCTACCAGATCAATTTGGCTAGATAGGGATTTTGACCCCGAGAACTATTACCACAATAGAATCCCTACCAGATCAATTTGGCTAGATAGGGATTTTTACCCCGAGAACTACTTTCACAATAGAATCCCTACCTGATCAATTTGGCTGGATAGGGATTTTTACCCCGAGAACTCCTTTCACAATAGAATCCCTACCTGATCATTGGGCTAGATAGGGATTTTTACCCCGATAACTACCATCACAATAGAATCCCTACCTGATCAATTTGGCTAGAAAGGGATTTTTACCTCAAGAACTACTATCACAATAAAATCCCTACCTGATCAATTTGGCTAGATAGGGATTTTTTCCCCGAGAACTATTACCACAATAGAATCCCTACCTGATCAATTTGGCTTGATAGGGATTTTTACCCTGAGAACTATTACCATTATAGAATCCCTACCTGATCAATTTGGCTAGAAAGGGATTTTTACCTCAAGAACTACTATCACAATAAAATCCCTACCTGATCAATTTGGCTAGATAGGGATTTTTTCCCCGAGAACTATTACCACAATAGAATCACTACCTGATCAATTTGGCTAGATAGGGATTTTGACCCCGAGAACTATTACCACAATAGAATCCCTACCAGATCAATTTGGCTAGATAGGGATTTTTTCCCCGAGAACTATTACCACAATAGAATCACTACCTGATCAATTTGGCTAGATAGGGATTTTTTCCCCGAGAACTATTACCACAATAGAATCACTACCTGATCAATTTGGCTAGATAGGGATTTTTACCTCAAGAACTACTATCACAATAAAATCCCTACCTGATCAATTTGGCTAGAAAGGGATTTTTACCTCAAGAACTACTATCACAATAAAATCCCTACCTGATCAATTTGGCTAGATAGGGATTTTGACCCCGAGAACTATTACCACAATAGAATCCCTACCTGATCGTTTGGGCTAGATCAGGATTTTTAACCCGAGAACTATTATCACAATAGAATCCCTGAGCTTCCAGATGAGCTACCTGATTATTATGGTAATAAATTATAAATGGTGTGTAACATACCTCTAACTGAAACCTTTGTAACATCAACTTCTTTTCCATCTGATCAAAAGTAAACGGGTCGACAACATATTTGTCCACTAACAGTGAGCGCCAGCAGTTCTTTGCAGTAGCATCTCCCTTCACAAGACATATTCTCAACAACTTCTTGTCTTCTACAAAAGAAAAAGCAGTTTCTCATAGAATTTACTTTTACATCATTGCAACTTAGTTTTTGTAAATCATAATTATAAATAGTAGAGCGTGGATGACTTCCTGAATCTCT